CAACTAAAGGGGACATAGATACTTTATTATGGTATAGTATTTAAATGTATTCCTGAGAAACACATATTATTGCCCCTTTAAGACACCAGCAGTCCACTGGTCTGAGAGACATAGCCGTTAGCTTTAAATGCTATTTTCTCAAAATTGCAGTTGCTTAAAGACTTATCTACAACAGGTAAGATATTAAGTTATTACTTTTGTACAGAATCCCATTTTAAAATGTCTAAACCCTTCCTAACCATCACCTGACATTTGACCTGTTTTCTTGATCATGACCCTTTGCCAAATGGCAAAATGGCGGATGATAATGTTTTTGCCTGTACTTTTGTGTCAAATCACAGGAAATGTTTTAATGTCACTCACAGAATTTAATAATTGGATGTACTGATTCAAGATGGCCTTCACAGCTAATCAACCTCAGCCAACACAGAAATTAATAACTTTACAGAAACTGAGGGAAACATTTAATGTGGAAGTAGCTGAGAGTCGATCAGAACTAACTCTATCCATGACCTTGTGCATAATGGTATTTTAAAGGTTTGACCTGGTTGTAACTTCCTCACTCATCAGCTTTAGATGATTTTTGTCTAAAATTGTGGCAGGAAAGGCAGCAGGCTCTTCTTTAGATGTGACTCCTGTGATGCATGGTGTCATTTTAACACAAGGAAAAGTGGACACTGGTGCAGTTTAAACATTGTTTTCCCCTTTCCCTCATATTTTATTCATAAAACCCTCATTACCTTACACTCTAGGAAGTGAGAAAAGCAAAGCAGGTGAGTGAAGAACCTGCTTACAGATGAGAAACTGATACGACACAGTGCTGCAGCAGGTCTCTGCAGTCAGTCAGGTCTGGTCTTTTTACAGTGAAGTTTTGCAGAATGAAGTCGAATGTGGCACCGCTGGGTGTTCTATTTCATACATGCAAGCATTGTAAGGTTAGCTGGTACTGACTGATGGAACTGGGCTTGTAGAGGACAAAGGATTATTTTATTAGGAAGCAGGACCTTTGCTTGAAAAGACAGGATGCAAACAAACCTAATTCATGAGCTCTTTTTCTTTTTCTTTTTTTGACAGAGTTTATATTAGATTTAAAGGAACCGTTTTTGTCGTGATGCCTTCTGAAACATGACTCAACGCAGTTACATCCTGAAAAATGTGTCAGGTAACTATTGCTGCTAATAACCTTAACATCACATGAACATTACAGTTTGTGATGAAATAGATGCATGCATTACAAAGAACGTATATAAAACATTTGCTAAAAGATGTTAAACTATGGTTTTTAGTCTGAACTTGCAAAAAAGCAAAGTTTTTCATGAGTGACTCACAATTTCAATTCAGATTTAATGAATTCCAAGGAATTGTTTCAAGCAGTTGCTCCGCATTTGTTTTTTTACTCGCTAGCCAAAACACTCAGAGGATGTCTGTGGTTAAACAACCTGCCAAGAGAATGGTTGAGCATTTAGAGTTGCAGTGTAATTATAGAGTGGGTTCTGTCTATGTACAGACTTACTGTTTGGGAGGAAAAGTCTCTGCTCATAACAGTGTCTGTGAGTGAAAAGTCCTCCTTGGTCCCTCCTCCTCTGGAGGGACGACTGCGCAATTATAGAAGCATTTCTGAGGTGAAAGAAGTCTTTAGACTTGACTCGAAATATTCACTGACGAACATAAACTGAGGTAAGAAAACTAAAACTGTAAAGATAGTAAATATGAGAAAAGGATATTTGTAGAGACTGTGTATAAAATGTATGTATTAGATGTTCAGAACTTTTTGTGTTATCAAAATTAATGGTTTTAGATTTAAAGTAAATTATATATATGGTCTTTATCACATTTGTGCTTTTTCTTCTCAGTGTTTGCGTTCTTGTATTTGTGTAAGAGTTGTATCTCACCAGGCTTTCACTGTTGGAGACAATTTGTCGACTTTAAATAGCAAGAAAGCTGAGATTTTCAGATACAGTCTCAATGGAATCTGCAAGTGCTGACAACCAGCAAGTCATGCAGATGCATTTTGAGCAGCATTTTTTTAAACAATGCCTATTTTTCTGTGCACCACTTGAAAACCTATTTGAGGTAGTACACATTATTTTGTCATGCCCACTTTAACAACTGCCTTCATGTTTATGGTTTATTTACTAGTGTACATTTTAATATGAGGATTTTTTGAACCATTTTTTAAACAAATAGTAATTATTTCAATGGTTGTTTGGTTCAGTGTATTTGCATTAGACCTTATGGCCCAGTTCCACCCCAATTCTGGAACCCTAAGACCCACAATTCTATCCGGGCCGGCCTGCTTGGCCCGATTTGACATCATCTACTTTGCTCATTGTTTGGACCAGGGGGTTACATCACAAAGATGAGTTTAATTTGGTAATGCTTTCTTTTATGGTGCCCTTATTACCATGTAATTACAAGGTAATAAAAAAATGTAATTAAATGGTAATTACTACCTTATTACCATGTAATTATGTGGTAGTTAGGGTACACGTTTACTATGTAATTGTCAGCAGTAATGTAGCACTTACCTGGTAATGTATTACAATTCACTATATAACACCTAAATAAGTAGTAGGTAATTTGGACAGTTTTAAAGTTATATTTTATTGCAATTAACCACTAACCCCAAAATTTAGTTGCATTCTTTTGGTTATATATATAGTGTTGAGTTACTATTGAATTGTAATTTGATTGTAAGGGTAGTTTTACTAACAGTAGTTTTTCTTTTGTACCCCAATTACTACGTAATTACATGGTAATTACATTTAATTACAATTTTTATTACCTTGTAATTACATATTAATAAGAGTACCGTAAAAGAAAGTGTTACCAATTTATTTAGCCTGGGTGTTAGCTGTAACCTCAGATGTTTTCTGTCATAGGGAGGGATCCCATGCTCTACGCTAGAACTCTAGAATTTACTAGAACTATGAATTAAGAAGGGTTTGAGATGTCTGCTACAATTCATCACATTCATGTGACTACTGCAGTTTGAGGGGGAAAAAGTTTCAAATATCAAACCTGAAAACCCTCTGCAAATCACTAGAGGAAATTGAGAATGCTTGCAAGGTTTTGAGACATTTTAGAGACTTCTGAAAGCTGTTTGCCAACTTGACTCTTCAACAGTCAGAGCCAAGTGAGATACTATAAGAAAGTAAAGAAAGTAAATCTTTTTCACTGTTGGTCCAACAGGTCAAAGCATTGAGGAGTGCATTTCTAACTGCACAGGGATTGATTATATTTATAGCTGAATTTAAACAGACCAAAACGGCATCACCATTAAGCGACTAAGCCTTAAAAGGAGGCCCAGAGTGGCTCTCAATAATGTGGAAAAACCACAAAGTGGCCAGTGGCATTCTGCAGAATCTTTATCATCATCTGGCTGTGATGATACAAGATCAATGGGCATGTCTTCTGCGGCAAAAAGTAAACCTCCTCTTCCTCCACCACACGGTTCTTCATTAGACAGCAAACCTTCCAGGACTGAAAGTCCTGGCACGTCTAAGAAATTCCCAGAGTTAATATCTCGGCAGCCTGAAAGACATCCACATTTACAGAGACAAAGTCCTGTGATAGAACAAACAATCTTGGAGACCCACAAACACTTCAGTCAAGATGTGACAAGCCAGTCCCCACCTCGGCCCCTTCCACGCCGTCGACTAGCCAGCTTTGGGGGTATGAGTACCCCTGGGTCACTCTCACCCTTCACTGGCCTGGGTGCCTATCAGGACATCAATGTGAACAAGACTGCTGCTGATGTGGGTGTCCACCTTAGCTCATCCTTGGGAAGTAGAGGCAGCACTGGCAGCCTGAGAATGAGCCCACAGAACTCTGGCAGAACTACTCCAGTTACAAGTCTTGGATCAATGCAGCTTCAGCATGTTCGTGACCAGATGGTGGTAGCTTTAGCAAAGCTGAAGGAACTAGAGGAACAGGTGAAGATCATCCCTATTCTCCAGGTAAAAATCTCAGTGCTCCAAGAAGAAAAGAGGCAGCTGGTCCTTCAGCTGAAGAACCAGTGTGACAATGAGGATATGGAAAGATCTTGCAATTTAGAATGGTCTGACTCAGAGAAAAAGGTGAATACAGATCTAGAACTTAAAGATGTTGGTAAAGATAACAGCTCTGACTTTAGAGAGTTCAGGAAACTATCAGAGGAAATGCAGGCATTGGAAAGAACCATCAGAAATGGACATTTACAAGGACTGACAGAAAAAGGCTGTAGCTCCGTGCAAGTTAAGGCTAGTAAGTCTGTTGCTGTTGGGACTGATATAAATGTGGACATGACTGCATCCAAAACCTCTAAAGAAAGCAAATATACATTCACTGATCCAATAGAGACAACATCCATAGCAACGGAAGTAACAGAGGTTCATCTTGGACTTTATTCCGAACAAGAGGCAGAACTTAAGGCCCAGAGACAACTAAATGCTGCCCTGAGGGAGAGAGTTTGCCACTTAGAAGCAGAGTTGAAAGAATCAGCTCTCCAGACAGAGTTGGTCTGTCTGAAACTGGAACTTCAGGCTGCAGGAGCCAGAAATCGAGCTGACAAAGCCTGCTTAGCTCATCCATCCACTGTCAGCACAGGCACGGAGACAAAACTGTCCACAAACAGCCAGGGAGTAGGGAACCATGTTGAGCTTCGAGATGCCGGCACAGGAGAGACAATGCAGGTCAAAAGTGTGGGAGTATCCTGTGAGCCTACAGTGAAGACCATTTGCACAGGACCAGATGTGCCCATCAGACACTGGGAGGTCAGGAAGCAAGTGGAGACCAGGGAAAAGGCTGTGGGGATCCAAGTTCCCACAAGAACACAAGGAACTGCTACAGAGATTCAACTGTGTGATGCAGAAAGCAACACAGAGGAACCAGTAGAGAATCTGGAGTGCAAGAAAGCAAATATTAGGTGTCAATCGTTGGTTCATGAGGATTATTCCATCAGTATGACTGTTGGTGAGGCAAAGCAAAAGGTTTCTCAAGGTTTCACCACAGATGTAGTCAGAGGAGTTGATCTGGGAATCATGGCATCACCACAAACAGCCTCACAGCTCACCAACACTGTATCCAGTTCAGTGTCTCGATTTACGAACACCAGCCAAGCCTTCAGCAACAATTCTAGCACGAATACACATCTCAGTAAACAAGACAAGCACACCAACACCTCTCACATTTTCTCTCGCACAGTGTCTGTCGGCAATAGGATTCAAGGCTATATGTGTACCACAGAAACCCGTTCAGTTGGTGTAAATACAGCAAATCTAGCTGAAAGTATTTTAAAACAAACCCAGGAGACAGTGAACAAAGTGACTCGAGACTGTGGGGTTGGATTCACAAGTATATATGAGAATTTTCTGGTAGGACTAAAAACTCGGAATATGGCCTCTGGACCATCCCGTCTTCCTGATCCCATCAAGACAAAGAGCGTAGGTGTTGGAGAAGGGAGGATACGAGATACTTCATCTGATGTGTCAAGACAAAAGATCCAGCGTTCCACACAGTTCCAGTGGGATCTTGAGTTGAACCATTACATTGAGAAGATGCACAGACTCTTAAAGGAGCATGGAGATCTTCTAACAGGGGACTGTGATCTTTACAACAAACCAAAACCATTCTGTGATACTAAAGATGTGGCACAAGGAGGGACAGAAGAACATCAATTCATTTCTCAACTAAGAGGTAACACCGCAAACGTTCACAGTTCACTTTATACCTTAACTTAAGTTGAGGACATGCATTAAAATTTATTATTACAGTCCACTCGTGCAAAGTGAAAAGCAGATGATAATGTTTTGCATGTGTTTGCATGCATCGGTTTTGCTTTTATTGAACTAAAATTTAACAATTTTATAAACAGACAGTGGTGGACACCAGCCCGCTAAAGCACAAATCTGCTAATTGCGGACCTAAATATTTCGTTTGCGCTTTAGCGGTCTTACTAATTTTTATAATTCATAGGTGGATTTGCACTTTCTAAAATTAAAATTCAGTACCGCTAATAACTAATTATCTACCAGTCATCATTATCTTGAACAGTGGAAGGTATGGCTGTCAATGAATCACAACACATGTGATCTATCCAACAGCACCCCTCCCAGATAAACACACTTATTGTGAAGGTATACATCCTTGCTGACTGTTGCTTTTGGCCATGGTTCTCATTTCCCACAATGCTTTGTGTCTGCTTACGTAGCAGGAAGACAATAGCAAAAACAGTTAACATTTGTAATCCATACTCAAATTTTGTATTTATTGATTTGTTTTACTTTACAATCGGAGCTCCTTTAAAAAAATGTAGTTTAAACGGTGGAGCTCAATACTTGATGTAATTGGTCGAAGCAATCGGCCAACGGGGTTAGAGACGCAGAAATGATTTAAAGATGTTATGCTGGTAAAGACTGACATCCAGTGGTCAAGTGGAGCAACTACATGGAAAACTTTGAAATCCAAGCTCTTATTTTGAAGGGAAGACAGTTTCCTGAATTCTGTCACAGATCAAATCCATCATGTCCCCAGAGTGCATCGCTTCAGTTTTCCAATAAACAGTTTTAAAATTGCAATAATTATGCTTCTTTAATGAAAAATCTACAACAAACAAAAGAAAAAGACAAAAAAAGCAGCCGAACTAGCAATCCTCAACAACTTTTTAATTTTTACACCAGGAGCTAAATGTTTGTTTCAGGAAATCACATCCCCAGCAATCAGCTGTTGTAGGATTAAGCTGTAAAAGGGTTCATACACCGCTAGTTGGCAGTGTTGTACATACAGTACACATATTGTACATGAATTGCTGCCAGCTAGTAAGTGTCAAATTGAACTTGCACTTTAAAATTAGCTTCTGCTAGTTTTTCTATGGCATGAGCACTTTTGAAGTTGCGGACCTAAATATTTTCATAAGCGCTTTAGAAATTGCAGAGCTAAATTTTGGATTAGCGCTGCCCACCACTGTTAACAGAGAATCATTCACAACATATTCTGAGTGTGAGATCTTGTTTTAGAGCTAAAAGAGTGACAGCTTATATTGGCAATAAAAAAAGGTTTAGTACAGATATATCAAACAGTGATATTGAAAAACTTATGATACTCTTATTTTACGCTGCAGCTTTTTATTTGATCTGCCACGTTTCCAATGCAAAGTTGTTTTAGTTATGTTGTCACTGTAAGCTGCCACTGTTTTGGCGTCAGTGGGGTGTAATTAAATGGAAGGCTTCTTCACGGACATACTGTTTGGCGTTCTGGCGGGGCTTACCGTGAATTTTACAGCGTTTTGACATTAAAAAACGGCGTTTTAAACGCTTTACAATGCATGTGCTTTAGGCTTTCCATAACACGGTGGGAGTGAGAACGCGTTGATACTTCCTGCACCAGACTTTGAAATTGTCTAGGCAGTGTGAAACACTTGTTGGTTTGTGCAGCTATTGGTGATACTTTGAAAAAACAAGTAGCTGAAGAGCAGCACTTGGACCTGATCCTTCATTGGATGGACTGCAGATAGATTTAGAGGATGAACCCTCCGTTTGACCCCGCCCCCTGAAGCCAAAACAGTGGCAGCTTGCAGTGTCAACATAACTAAAAGAACTTTGCAGTGGCATTGAAAACTGATCTCATTTAAAAAAATAGCTGCTGCGTAAAATGAGAGTATCACCACAAGTTTTTCAATGTCACTGTTTCTTTTTTCAAACACTGTTTTATTTTTCAGTAAATAATAATTCAATAATTTCTTTGTCTAAAACTCCAGCCTGAAGGGGTGTGCTTTTCTTCAAAGAATGCTAGGCCTTACATTTATATATTAAACTACAACATTACATTTCAAGAAAATGTTTCACTATCGTTTTTCTGGTATTGTGTCTTAAATGACATTATTCTAGATCCTGGTGTAGGATAAGGTATTTGTCTGCTCTAAACATTTGTATTGTTGATACTTTTAATCATTAAAAAATATGTCGCACTATCTGTTCTCAGACAGATGCCTATAGAACTCCATTGGTTTGTTATTTACTGTATGCATTGTCAGATACATCATGCTGATAATATTGAAACACTGCATTTTTTTTGAAACACTGCATTTTTATTTTTCTGCAGCCAACACCAACATGCCTTCTATACCTCAACCATTACTTGCATCTGGTAAAAGTGGTAATCAAAGTCCAGGAACCAACCAACAGGATGGTAACAAGTCAGAAGTGAAACGAATGATTAAGATGTTGGAACAGCAGTCAGACTCCAATCCACAAGGTAAGCAGACCTGTTTGTGTTTAAACTCCAAACCATTTGGCTTAAAGTTATTTTATATAAAAGCTCAATGAATACTGTATATACAGGTAGAAAAGTGTCTATGCAAAATACTAGTTTAAAGATATTTAAAACGAAAGTTTTTTCCTCTGAAGCCACTCCCATGGCCTGGTTTAAACTTGAGCCTGGTTCAGAGGAAGTGGCTGCCTCTGGTTTGGCAAGTTGACTTACTCTGGGATTCTCCTGCAATTTCTGGAATGATTTCTGGGGTTTGGAAGTTGCTTTGTCCCACATAGCACTTTGTGGTTTTGTGTCTAAAATTAAAGGACTTCGTAGGAGGAACGGGTGTCTGAGAATGTTTTCTAAACTTGCAAATTCCACAATGATAATTAAATGTGCACAAATTATGCATACTTTCTTCTCTATTTTTAAAACTTCTTATTTTTGACAGTTTAGAAGTGTTTGTTGTCTTTCATGATCTCTCAGTTGCAGAACCACTCCATGTTCATTTGTCTTTTTTGATAGTACTAATGAGAGACATGATCACAGATTAATTTTGTTTTTGGCTTGTTATGCAGTTATTTAAAAAATGGTTGCATTTGTTTGGACCCAACAGACCTAAATGTAATTCGATTTTTTTTATATATATGTATAAAAACAAAGTCTTAAATGTACAGCGGGTAAAATAAGTATTGAACACGTCACCATTTTTCTCAGTAAATATATTACTAGAGGTGCTAATGACATGAAATTTTCACCAGATGTTGGTAACAACCCAAGTGATCCATACATACAAAGAAATCAAACCATAAATGTCCAGAAATGAAGTTATTTGTAATAATGTGGAATGGCACAGGGAAAAAGTATTGAACACACTTACTGAAATTTATCTAATACTTTGTACAAAAGCCTTTGTTGTCAATGACAGCTTCAAGACGCCTCCTGTATGGAGAAACTAGTGGCATGCATTGCTCAGGTGTGATTTTGGCCCATTCTTCCACACAAACAGTCTTCAAATCTTGAAGGTTTCGTGGACCTCTTCTATGAACTCTGATCTTTAGTTCTTTCCATAGATTTTCTGTTGGATTCAGGTCAGGTGATTGGCTGGGCCATTCCAGCAGCTTTAGTTTCTTTCTCTGAAACCAACTGAGAGTTTCCTTGGCTTTGTGTTTGGGCTCATTGTCTTGCTGAAATGTCCAGCCACGTTTCATCTTCATCATCCTGGTAGATGGAAGCAGATTTTTATCAAGAATGTTTCTGTACATTTTTCCACTCATCCTTCCTTCAATTATTTGAAGTTTGCCAGTACCATATGCTGAAAAACAGCCCCACACCATGATGTTCCCACCTCCAAACTTCACTGGTATGGTGTTTTTGGGCTGATGTGCAGTGCCATTTGACCTCCAAACATGATGTGTATTCTGGCATCCAAACAGTTCAATGTTGGTCTCATCTGACCAGACTATATTCTCCCAGTATTACACAGGCTTGTTTAAATGTTGTGCAGCAAACTTTAAAGGAGCTTCAACATGCTGTTTCTTCAGCAGTGGAGTCTTGCGTGGTGAGCGTGCATACAGGCCATGGTGGTTCAGTGCATTACTTATTGTTTTCTTTGAAACAATCGTACCTGCTAATTCCAGGTCTTTCTGAAGCTCTCCACAAGTGGTCCTTGGCTCTTGGACAACTCTTCTGATAATTCTTTTCACTCCTCTGTCAGAAATCTTGTGAGGAGCACCTGGTCGTGGTCGGTTTATGGTGAAATAATGTTCTTTCCACTTCTGAATTATGGCCCCAACAGTGCTCACTGGAACCTTCAGAAGTTTAGACATTCTTCTGTAACCGATGCCATCATTATGCTTTGCAACAATAAGGTTGTGAAGGTCTTGAGAGAGCTCTTTACTTTTACCCATCATCAGATGGTTCTTGTGTGATACCTGGCCATCATTTGGGACTGAACCAGCTGATATTAACTTGCACTGACAAGGGGCAGGCTTGTTTTCTAATTACTGAGAGAGTTCAGCTGGTGTCTTGGCTTTCCATGCCTTTTTACACCTCCCTTTCTTCATGTGTTCAATACTTTTTCCCTGTGCCATTCCACATTATTACAAATAACTTCATTTCTGGACATTTATGGTTTGATTTCTTTGTATGTATGGATCACTTGGGTTGTTACCAACATCTGGTGAAAATTTCATGTCATTAGCACCTCTAGTAATATATTTACTGAGAAAAATTTTGACGTATTCAATACTTATTTTACCCGCTGTATGTGCTGGGTTGTCATTTCCAGACAGATCTAATGTCTGTCAGCCGTGGTCAGTAATGAAGAAACAAGGTGGCGACCAGTGTGGCAGCAACAGGAAAAACATGAAGTTTATGAAGGTGAATGCTGGGTAAGTGTCATAGCTATAATGATATTTGAACATGTTGGATGGGAGTATTTTATCCAGGCTCAGTTGTGCTCTGTTTTTTTTTTTTTTTTTACATTAGATTGGACTTAATGTCAACCTGTGAGCCTGAGGAAGAACCAAGAAAAGGATGTCAAACTTTTACGAATTTCTCTCAAGATGGGCTTCAAGGAAAAAAGGGAAAAGATGGCTGTAAAAAGGGATCAAAGGGATCTTTAAAATTATATAGGCAACAGAGGTAATGTACTGTTAAAGCTATAGATGATGAGTTACAAAAAAAATCTACCCTCTCTCAGTCCTAAAGCCAGACTGGGCTGTGCCTGGGAGACTAGTAGGTAAACAACATTTATAAGGGAGTTACCAACATTTCTCCAAAGCTTTGTGAAGTTTCTCAGTTTCTTGATGAGCCACAGAGGCTTGTGTGTTTGTCAGCTGAATTTTGAACACATTGAAAGAATCTGTACAAGACATGCTCTCTTTAAATAATCTCACAGTTGATCTTGGCATCTTGAACCCTTTTAAATTTAGTTTCAATAAATCTAAAGCATGCTTCCCAAATTTTTCAGCTTTTCACCCACAAAATAACAGGAGCAGAGACCTGTACCCCCAACTATTTTTGGATGATAAACATTGGTATCACACCAAATAAAAAATGGATATAGTAACTACATTCATTCTGCTATATTTATCAAAATTTAAGTACACTAACCATACTCTTTTGTAATAACTAAGACAAAAAAATTGTTGTTAGAACTTAAATGTAAATAATTCTAAGTATCTTTTCAAGACCCCACCTTGATGTTTTAGGACTCAGTGGGTTCACTACCCCAAACTTGGGAACCACTGATCTAGAACCACTTCTAATGCTACAGCCCAGATATATTTTAAGCCTTATGGAAGTGATCATACACACTGAAAAAAGGATCTTTGGGTGTATTAACATTTATCCAACTGTTCTTTTAAATTTTACGAAAAAAATCAAAATCTACAAACTACTAGAATTTACTAAATAAACAATTATATTTTACGTATATCAATGTTACTGTACAAAAAAAGTAAATGCTAATATTATTTTACCAGTAATAATTAAGTGCTTTTTCTGGACAGCACATAAACATGAATATATTAAGTAACTTCTACTAAAACTGAGGCTGCATGCACACACAAAGGCTGCTGCTCCTCATTCCCTTGCTTCACTTTTCAAGGAGAGGACAAGACATGGTGGAAATAAAACATAAGTTGTCTGCTTTCTTTTGCTTGAATACATTTGTTGTGTGCAATAGTTTGATGACATAATGTAGGCGATATTTAGTTGTCAGGGAATGCATATTGTAGCATTCTGCTGTGTTTGGCTGTTTGTCATGTGACTGCAGAGGAGGATTATGGGTAGGATTCATG